CTCAATAAAATCAATTTTTTTCAATGAAAAAAACCTTCAATTACTCGATTCTTCTAATTTTTTAGGCTGAAGAATTAAGAGAGAGAAATGTTGAAGAAAAAAAGGATATGATCTGATTTTTTATTTTATTTTAATTGATTTTGAGTGAATTAAGGATAAAGAATATGGTTAATTTGTTTGGATCCCTTATTTCATGCTAATCATTAATTATCTACAATAAGTTCAAATTAAATTACAGGCCACAATTTCAGTTTTTTACTTTATTATTTCTAATTCCATTTTTTTTAAATTTTAGTTTATCTTTTTATTTTTTTAAAGTTTTTTCCAATTAATAAAAACATTTCTTTTTATTGTAAATTTGTTATAACCTGAAATTTTTAATGCTATAGCTTGAAAGTCTAAATCTACTGCTATAGCTTGAAAATAGTACTATAATATATGTCATATATGAAATTTACACTAGAAAAAACTAGTATTTGGGAATTTGGGATATTTGCCAAAAATATTTGCCAAATAATGGTAAAGTGTATGGACAAACACTATTTGCCAAATTTCCCCCCAAATATTATTTGGGAAATCTATGGCCAAACGGGCCCTAAGCAACAGTATGTATACTTAAACATTCACAAGTCACAACCCGTTTGGTCATAGATTTTACTAGTAGATTTTTTTCAACCAAATCTACGATCAAACGCTAGCTTACTTATTCTATGCATAATTAGAGATCTCATTATGATTAATTGAAGTATATTTTTGTATGTGTTGTAGATGGGATTTTGTTGAAAATAATGGCACGATATCCAAGGACATGAACCGTATTGAAGCTTTTCGTATAGGATTAAATACATGGGCTAAATGGGTTGAGAGAGATATTAATACAACGAAAACCAAAGTATTTTATCAAGGAGCATCAGCCACACATTACCAGTAAGAACTTTCATCCTTCTAATTATTAAATTTTGTGTTCTTTTTCTGCTTTAAAAAAGTAATTTTGATGAATATGTTGTGTTCTTTTTCTGCTTTAATAAAGTAATTTTGATGAATATTTTGTGATTAATATGTGTATATAATGTATACATAGTGAATACATTATGCTAAATATCTATATACATAATATACAGTCGAAGTATATAGTAGTGTATATTTTGGTACACTAGATGGCCGAAGGGTACATTTATGCAAGTTATGCTTACCAATTTGATGGGTAATTTAGGGTTCAACAACGGGTCAACCGTTCAAGTTAACAAATAAAGTCATAACTGAATCTGTCCAAACTTAGATTACATTTCTGGTGTAAAAATCCCGAATACTAAATGATTCATATATATCGTTCTATTTGCCTAATATTTTACAACTATTTTTTTTTCCAGTGGAACTGAATGGGGTGAGCCAGAAGTAAGAGGATCAACATACCCAAGTGGATTACCAATTCCTGTGGACATAGTGAAACAAGTATTAAAGAACATGTCAAAGCCAATAGTAAATTTACTTGACATAACAAAGCTAACGCAACTAAGAAAAGATGGACATCCAAGTATATACAATGGTATACATGGCTTTGATTGTACACATTTATACATGGCTTAGATTGTACACATTGGTGTATTGGTGGAGTTCCTGATACTTGGAATAATATTCTATATGCATCTCTCTTTCCCACTTCTCCCAAACACTCCATTTAATTTATTACATCTCGTTTTGTGTCTGATATTCATTTTATAGAGTAAAGGTACTTTTTCTGAAATATAATTTTATTTTTCAAAATTCAACATCTAAATGTACTTCAGATGAGCTCATATATGAAGCATAAGTTCTATGTATATATCATAAAGAACAAACTATATCATTGATGGACAAATAACAACAAATCTAACAAACTTGCTTAGCATCCTATTCAAGATTTACACTTATGTCTCTAACATTCATTCAAATTTAGGTTTCATGACAATAAAATCAAGATTAGGGGTGTGCTTGGTATAGAGGAAATATTCTTTAATGTTCCTTTGTTTGATCGGTCAAAATTATTGAAAACATTTTCTGTAAAAAAATATCTTTTAAAAAAACGCGGAAAATGATTTTTATAGTGAAAGTAGAAAAAAAATAAGTTTTAGAATTGATATACGTTTTTCTTTTGGTTTTCATTTAGTGTTTGAAATCCGTATTAGAGTCCAAACCGCATAAGGTTGATTAAAGTAGGGTGTACATTCGATTTTTCGATTTGATTTTGTACTATTCAGTTTGAATTTCTCAATTTTTTTTTATTTTGAAAAAGTGTAACCCAATCCGAACCAAAATAAATTTGGTTTGGTTTGATTTTTCTCTTTTCGGTTTGGTTATTCGGATATGTCATTAATTAATAACGTAATCAAAGTTATATTTGCAGAATATATATATATATATATATAAGGAGAAGTAATAGTATTGAATCACTTAAATATACTTTCTAATATAAATTACAAGTAAAACTTAAAACACAATACTTAAAGAGGAAAACGCTTCCTAATGATTATTTTTTTCATATAAAAAATTCGAACTCGAAGTGTGTAATTAAGAGTGGAGGGGTCCTAACCATCCCATCACAACTCTTGTTGATCGGAGAAATGCAACGCGAGAACTTCTCAAAAAAGGTCACCCATCCTAGGACTACTTTTAACTTTTTCAACTTAGTTTTGCGATTCAATTTTTGATTTCATGTCATACAATGTCAATTTGGTCTTATGATTTATTGATCAAGGAGGACAACAACAACAATAATATATTCAGCATAATCTTACAAGTGAAATCTGAAAACGAGAAAGTATAAGTAGTTTAGTACCCCTAACTTATAAAAGTAGAAAAACTATTTTCGATAGACCCTCAATACAAATTCAATATAATCTTATTATTGCAGTCTGCATGACCTCTCTATAAAAGGACATACTCTTATTTTAATGTAGCATTTGAAGAAAAAAAACAACTTATATTCATAATCAATGTCTTTCTTATTATTTTATATTTTATTATATTATTAGTAGTATTATTTTTGCTTGAAGAAATTGTTTTGCACAGTAAATGTGTAAAATTTAAACGGTTTTGAAAAATAAAACTAAACTTTATAAAGTACTTACTACGCAACCAATGTCATTGTCAGAATTTGTAAGCCATCAGAAACGACAATAATAAAAGTAATTGATAAATATTAAATGTTAAGAAATATTTTTAGGTGTGAACTAATGTTTGAATAAAAGTGATGAAGTTGGTAATAATTAATTAGTGTGTTGGGTAAAAAAGAGGTGAAAAAATATTTTTATGAATGATTACGTACAATAGGTCTTTGTGGTCTTACGCTTTTTTCAAATCACTTATAGCAACCATTTCTGCGTCTAATTTAAGGGTGATAATTGGGCGGGTTGGATTAAATTTGGGTGAGTCATAATGGATCAATGTAACCAGTGGCGGATCCAGGATTTAGACTCCGTGGGTGCCAAATAGACTTATCGATTAAATTAATTTTATATTTGATTAAATTATTCGTCTTTTTCGATATAAATTAATTTTAGTTCTCTAATTTTTCTTAAAAGAACGTGCGCAACAATTTCCTTTTCTTAAAAAAATGTCTTTCTCAAAAAAATAGGTATAAATGGGATTTGAACCCGCAACATCAACCTTCTAAAGTTGCCCTCCTACCGTGGCACCACAAGCCAATTTTGTTCTGTGGGTGGCACGCTTTATATAAATATAAATATTATATATATATATACCTTGTATATATAGAGTTTCCGTCGAAGTTCGGGGATGGCGTGGCACCCCCACACCCCTTAATAGATCCGCCTCTGAATGCAACAAACGGATCAAGACCCAATCAAATCCTTGGGTCAAAACTAGTTAGGTAATGGATTATAAAACGGGACAAGACCCAACATAATTCAACTTTTACTAATTTTTAATTTTATTTGTTCTTTTAAAATAGTTTAGTCCCTAATAAAATTATTTTTTCTTTATTATGACTATATAACATATTAATTAATTTAAAAATATTTTTACAAGATTTCTTAATGAATCAATTTTGGGTTACATCTCAACCCATTTTTTAATGAATTAAAATGAATTGAATTGAAATAAATTGAGCAAATAAATGATCGGATCAATAGCACGTCTAAACCTAAACAGGTTGAACAAGTTGAATTTGATTTTGTCGCCCTTAATGCACCCCCCACCCCCACACACACTCCTATCCTATAGTGTTCAATAAACCAAGAACACATGCATTTTGAAGACGAGGAATTTTTTTTATTCAACCAGCATTTTTTGAATCATATTAGATTATATACAAATGCTATTAGGATGATAACTTTTTGCTTTTATATTAAACACAGGAAAATCACTTATTTCTTGAGAAAATATATCTGAGTACCAAACACACCCTACATGAGAGAAGTATTTATTTATTATATTTTATATTGTTATAAGAGAGACATATGGTAGAGCAAGAAACAATAAATAATAGGGAGGCATATGTGAGGTGTGTTGCCATGTGAAAATTGCAAATGCTCATCAAAGATCCAGCCTTTTCTTGCCTTTAGCAAACTATTTTCCTCAATATATATTTCTATAATAATTAATCAAAAAAGTCACTTTTTTGTTTTGCATTTTTCTGTACCATCTCATTCACACACAAAGACGGGTTAACACAACTATCAACTTACCAAAATTTACCATCAAAAGCGGTATGCGATCGGGTTTGAGTTCTGAATACGTCTTCTTCTTTTTATAGAGAGTACTTTCCCCTAAATGGGGTCCTATGTAGAGCAAATATAAATTAGTCGAATTTCAATGTATATACAAAATATCGAAAGAAAAAAATTATCAAAAAATTCATTTATATTGGCACTTCTTAAGATATTATATTTACATGAAACTAACAAAATATAATTTATATAGAGATAGAGTCGTGACTAGCTTTACGTGATAAATATTTCTACATTAATTTAATTGTAATTGCTAAGGGTTAATAAATTTTATATAATTTTGTGAATATTTATAAAATAAATGCATTTTTCCCTTCTAATTGAAGCATACACACAATTACCATATATAAATTCTTTTTACCTTATTTTGGTACAAGAAAGTTGCAAGCAATCGTCAATAGCTCGATTATAAATTAGGACATTTATTGATTTAATTCAAGAAACTAATAAGATGAGAAATTTGCTTTATAAGTAATAAGTTTAATTGGAAAATCATTATAAAAGAAACTCAAATCAAGCTACCAAAAAGGAAATGTCTTTAAACGTGAGAAAATATAATTAGATCAAAATAGAATGAAAATCATGTCACAAAATGTCCATAAATTAGGGGAATTAATTTTTTAAATCAATTTTAATCACAATTTATAAGAATAAGAGTCATAGTCTATGAATTGATGAGTATAGGCCTAAAATCATTACGAGTTTAAATTATACATACTAATAACGTGTACAACGCTTTAGTCTCTTAAAAGGAACTAACTAAAGTGTAACTCTATTTAATACATGTTCAGTTTGAAAAAAATGAAGAAACAATATATCACTTAATTTATAATTATCCTTATTCTTAATTATGATCATTTCCAATAATATAAAATTCATTATAATAAAAGGATAATATAAAAAGGATAATGCTAAACGGCTAAAAAATTTGGCCAGAAATTTAAAAATTCTATGATATCTTTTTTATTTTAAAATAAACTGATATTTTTTCCATTTTTTAACTAAAAGGTATTAAAGTTAAAATGGTAAAAAGGTTCAAAAAGGTAAAATAACATAAGTAAAAATACCATTCTAGCCAAATTCTGGCCAAATTTTCTGGCCAAAAGGGTTTTTCCATATAAAAAATAACATTATTGATCGAAAGCAACAAATAATAAATGGTAGTAAATAGAGTAATTTGCTTTCTACTCTTTTGGTATTGGTCAATTAATTACAAATTCTCTTAATTGCGACATTACGGAATGTAATATCCTTAATTACTATACTTGAACTTATTTAATTTTTCAAAATTAAATTATTTACTGAAAATAAAAAGACCTTAAATAAATGAATCTCCTTATTTGTAATCCCTCCCTTCATACACACACACACACACATATTTATTAATTATTTCAACCCCTTTACACATAATTATTCTCTCTCTTTTTTTCTTTTCTTTTCTCCTCTGAAAATAAAAAATGGTGAAAATATTTATTGATGAGTTTAAATATTTTCTTGTTATTATTTTAGCAGTATTAATTGGGTCATCAGAAGCAAATGGTTGTGATTTATTTGAAGGAAATTGGATTATTGATAATTCATATCCATTGTATGATTCAAAAGCTTGTCCATTCATAAGAAGGGAATTTGATTGCATCAAATTTGGAAGAACAAATCTTGATTATCTCAAATATAGATGGCAGCCAAGTAATGGTTGTGTCTTGCCAAGGTTCATCTCTATCTCTCTCAGTTCCGTTTTATATCGTACTTTTCTTCAAGTTACTTATGATGATAATATCGAGATAAATTTCAAAAATGATCAAATAACTTTAGCTTTTTTTCACTAAAATCAACAACATATATTACTTATAAGCTCATAAGTAGTTTGAAGAAAGTAGATTGTCTATACACACTACAGACTTTACCTCTATCTCAACAGCTCAAATATAATAAATCAAAATATTTTTGAAAAAGGATTTTTTTTCACTAAAGTCACATAACTATATTTTTTCTATAAATAAGGAAAACTCAACTAAAAAATAATTGAAATAGTAGTTAACTATACTTAAAAATCAAAGGGATTGTGATTTTATAACATGTGGTTCTCCTTTGAACTTATATTCAATTTATCAATGAATATGTTGAAGGAAACAATGGAGCATTACCTATTTAAGTTCAACAACTAAAATGAACATGTTAGAAATAAACTACTCTTAACTTGTAAAACAAGTCCTTTTGTTCCAATTTTTTAATTCAGAATCAATCAAATCTCTCCGTATTGGATTAAATCAACATAGGAAAATACAACAATGTATTTTATTGATAAAGATATTTCAAACGTTTTCCTAATTAAAAATGATGTTTGACTAAAATAAATGTTCTGGACATATTTTGCTTTACTATTTGAACAATTTAATTTTGTGTGTTTTTGGAATAATTTGTAGATTTGATGGCAAAGATTTTTTGGAAAAATTCAGAGGAAAGAAGATAATGTATATTGGGGATTCTTTGAGTCTTAATATTTATGAATCCCTTTTGTGCTTGCTTCATGCTGCTGTCCCACAAGCTAAATATAATCATGTAATACTTAGAGAAAATGTCACTGTCACATTTCTGGTAAGTTTTTTTTTTCTAAAAAAATAATTATGCAATACTTTACTTATGGATTTCTATTATTGGAGATTGCAACATATAACTCTTTAGCACAATCCTTTATTAAAATGCTACTTCTATGTAACAACTCGAAACACGTAGAAGAGACTTATATAATAGACCTATTAAATTTTTTTTAATTATATAATCATTTTCTGTGTTTACGAGATATGTCTAATCAATAAAGGACAAATGTATTCTCTAAAAAACGGTTGATTGATGTAAGTTCTGCTAGTCTGTTTCAATTTGTTTATCCTACATATACTTTGGATTGGACAGTCAAATGAAATTTATACACTTTTTAAATATCTCGAATTATTAGTTATATATTGTGATTTATGCTAATACTTTTTATATAGTTTTTAAATATGTAAAAGAAAAAAAATAGTTTGACATCTCGTATTCTAAATCAAGTCAAACAAATTGAACAAAGAACGTATATGTTTTACATTATTAGCTCTAGATTTGTGTTGTGTGTTTTTTAGTTATAGAAAAACCTAAAGTATTTTTTTTTAATTTTCTTAATTTTGCAGGATTATGGAGTTGAAATAGTATTATTTCATTCGAATCTTTTAGTGGACATTGAAGTTGAAAAAATTGGACGTGTATTGAAACTAGATTCAATTAAAGATGGGCAAATTTGGAAGAATTTTGACCTTTTGATATTCAATACTTGGCTTTGGTATACAAGAAGACCACCAGGACAACAGTATGTTCATTATTATTTAATTTTCTTTTTAATTTACAATTTAGTCTATACGATCAACAAATTAAAATTAAAATTTCACATCGTGAAAATAGTTTCTTGCAAAAATACAAAATAAGACTACAGATAATAGACCTGACATGATCCGGACGTTTCCAAAACCTCATGACCATGAATTAGTGCATGCATCACATTATATCTTTTATCTTTTAATAAAAATGAGTTTTACAACGTGCGAATATTGGTTGTAGGTGGGATTTTGTTGAATATAATGGCAAAATATTGAAAGACATGGATCGGGTCGAAGCTTTTTGGGCTGGGCTAAAAACATGGGCCAAATGGGTTGAAACAGATGTGGATACAGCAAAAACCAAAGTTTTCTTTCAAGGAACATCTCCGGCCCATTACCAGTAAGAAATTTTTTGTTCATATAATATATATTTTTAATTTTTAGCTATAATATGTCTTCTTCTATTTTATGTTACAAATCTCTTTAAAGAATAAAATTGAAATAAAAATTTGAGATTGAATATATTTCCTAATTGCTAATTTGATTTAAGAGAACATAATAGCTTTATTTTCATTATTTCTGCTATAATTTTATGGACCTTAAATTGCTCGAGTTTATTTGTTGAATTTGAAGATAAGTTTATGAAGCTGAGTGTCACCATAACAAAATAAACGAACTCAAATGATGTAGTTGTTGTGAATATAACTAAGATGGAGGACTGATGTGAGAATATGTCAAATTATATTTCAGACTCTGTGAAGATGTCTATATATAAAAGAGGACGATGCTATGAAGTTGTATTTTTATTTTTTAGTTGCTTTGGATTAATTCTAGAACATCCCTCCCTTCTCACATTTTTATTTCTTGTTCTTCCCTCTGAAGATTTGTTACTAGTTTGGAGTAATTATCTAATGACGAACTCTTACATTTTTACGTATAATTCCAATTATCCATTTCAATACAATATATACGAGTTCATTACATTAGTTCTATATGACTCTCACAAAATTGTAAGAAAATGTTGTAGCTTTATGACTGTTGAAGAATGAAAAAATCTTACATCCGTGGTTAATGAGATAGGTAGTGTCCTTATAAGGCTTTTTAGGTGGAACTAACTCTTTTAAACTAGTTTTTGGTGTGTGAGTATGATATTGGGCCCTCAAATTAAATTGTCCATATTCTATTCTAGATGCCCTGTATATATATTTCTTGTTCTCAAACCTTAGTTACTACTCATTGTTTTTGTAATGTACATGAACAGTGGATCAGAATGGGGTGAACCAACAGTGAACAGTTGCTTGAATGAAACAACTCCAGTCAATGGATCAACATACCCAAGTGGCTTACCAATTCCTGTGGACATAGTGAAACAAGAATTACAGAACATGTCACAGCCAATAGTAAATTTACTTGACATAACAAAACTATCACAACTAAGAAAAGATGGACATCCAAGTATATACAATGGAAATCATGGCTTGGATTGTACACATTGGTGCATTGGTGGAGTTCCTGATACTTGGAATCAAATTCTTTATGCTTCTCTACTTTGAAAAATAAATAAATAGATTTAAGTATCATTTTGTTAACATATAGTGGAATAAATTAACATATGCAATTATTCTTAACTTAAATATGATGATGAGTTGGGAGCATAGGAGCCGCTTCTATGGTTCCATTCTTGTTGTTGCTAGAGGTACACATCTCTTTTCTTGATGTGAAATGACATACGAAAAAAAGTTATACTTATTCATTTGTGTCAAGATAATATGTCTATTTTCTCCTCCTTTATTCAGATTTGAAATTGAAAATATAAATAGTTATTTGGCCACCATCAGATGTTTACAACTAACCAAATAATTAACCCTAAACGTCAACAAATCAAAATGAAAATTAATATCACTCTGATTAATTAACCGTTAAAAAAGTGTATATATATGTCATATGTTTTATATTTATTGGCTTGACGTAAACTTTTTCCTACTTACTTTATAAATGAAATTAATTTCCTCTTTCGTTTCTAAGATCTAAAAATAAACAATCTCAAGCAAGTTAAATATACCAAATAACAAGAAATTCTAATGAAGAGTACTATTAATCTATTATTAATAACTGTGATCCAGATTCCAGAATCAGGAAGAGCCGGACATGAATTGGAAAGAGTAACTTTCCCCATAGGAGGAAGAGTGTGCGCTAAAGTTAAAGCAACTCTTTTTCAAATATAGATGTAATTTCATTAATTCAGTACTTAAGGTCTTCCTTCATCATTTTTATGTCACCTTTTTACTTTGCACTTGCATTAAGAAATGATGTAACTTTACTCTTCTATCCTTATTTAATGTTTTCTTAAGCCAACTTTATTAATAAATGACAAGATTGATTAACTATTCTATCAAGGGTATAATAGGCAAAATATGTATGCATAAATTTTATAAAATGACAAATATTGTGGTCCAGCTAGCTATTTATATAAATGAATAACATATAAAATAAGACGGAGGGAGTAGCTTTTTGTCGTACTCCTTTTTTCACTTATGGGACGGAGATAGAGAGCCAACAGAAACTTTTAGAGTGGAAATAATGAAGAATCTTTAATTAAATGTAAATTAATGATCATATGTTCATTCATCATATAATTACAAATTTGTGCACCCCATTCATGTACTAATTTCCTATTGGTTTTTAATGTCAAAAAATATACCATGACAAATTTGTCTAGCTCATGCATGTACTCAAATAACCTTTCCATTTCTATCTACATTATTCATTCATCTGATTTTTTCAATTAGCATAAAGTTCAATGCTTCTCATATATTTAAATTTCCCCTTTAGTTAATTAAGCATATGAAAATGGTAAAATAAACTTGTCCATAAGCAACCAAAAGAGCTATCATATTAATTAGTCCTTAATTACTAGTAATAGCAACCCACGTGTTATATATATAATTCTTTTTGCCACAGCCTCTATCCTTCTGGTGAGCACTTTGTGCCACTTGGTAAATTAGTTGTTTTGATTTTAATGATACTATAAAATTCCCAATTGTTATAATATTGTGCCTCTCTTTTTTCAATTTTGATTTTGCTTAGAAAGTGATACTAATTAAAAAGATGGCAAAGGGTGTGAATAGTACTTTTGTGTATATTCTCGGTGCAATGCTTATGTTGAGTTTTGTGTTTGTTTTTGAAGCCATGTTGACGGTATTTTCAAGGTTTTATTCAGATGCAATTGCCAAGAAATTAGTTCATATAGGAAGAAATACAACAAGAATAATATCAAAACAACAAGAAGAAGCAAAAATAACTACAAGTAATTGCAACTTGTTCGAAGGAAGTTGGGTGATTGACGACGATGTTATCGATCCTTTATATAACACAACTACTTGTCCATTTATTCGAAATATATTTGATTGTACCAATCGACCTGATCGTCAATATCTTAAGTATAAATGGCAACCTAGTGCTTGCAATTTACCAAGGTACGTAACAATATTTGAGATTTACTACGCATAATATAATTTTCTGATAAATAATGTTCAACTAATTACTTTTATTAATTTTATCCGCCACCCTTGCTTGTTCTCATCTAACTTACCTAGTTAAACGATATTATTTTAATTTACCTCTATTATATATATATATATATATATATACATATATAATTT